CTCTTTATATCAAAGAAGACATTTGGCATTTGTTTTTTAAGGATTGGTTAGCCAATTTTAATTAATGTCTAGTGTTAGTGTCATATGTGCCTTTAGCCTGTATATTACTAAACACAGCATATTAGTCACTATTATAAGGACTTTCCATATAATCCCTCATTTTTTCCTGAAAACAACTCCATGAGAGTAATTATGCTAATATTAAAGAGAATAAATAACCTCCCCACTGTTATGCATCAGTAAGTAGGACTAAATTTGAATACAGTCTAGCCTTTTACATTAGCTTATCTTCCTTTCAGAAATGTGTTTTTCAGAAATGTTACTGTCCTTTCATTCCTACAGTAAATTTGTTTTACTTTTCAGAATGTCCATCTTTTGAAATAAACTTTTTTAAATAAAATTTTTGCTCATTAATTTAAAATGAACTGAGAGACTATGCTTTGAGGTCAGGAAGTTGTTACACTTTTGGAGGAAGAACATATATGGGAATTAATTGAACCAATATTTTAGTATTTTTTTAAATCCTAACTATTAAGATATAATGATTCATTCACCAGCCATTTGTCTATTCCAAAAAAAAGTATCATATAAATTTCCCTGAAATTTAAGTATTGTGATTTTGTTGAGTCAGTCTTTATAGGGGAAAATATTGTTGGTTTATCTTAATTTGTACCACATGTAATTCTATTTATAATTCTAGTCTTGTCAGACCAGCAAAATAGTGTCTACCATGTTTTTATTTTTATTTTTTAGATATCTCTGTTCATTGATGTTAGAGTTGCTTTATTCTTTTCAAAGTTGTTCCTTTTTTGTATGTGTCAAATAAATAATGTATCCATTTATATGTATTTAATTTATAATTATTCATGGAGTTGAAAAGAACACCTTCATTCCAGTTCTTATTTATGGAATATGTGTTTTAAAGGTAATATTTAGTGAACTCATACTTAGTTTCTCCTAAACTCTGAAACTTTTTCCTAAATTAAAAAAAGCTACATACTTTTGTCTTTCATTAAAAACAGCTAAGAAATATTTTTTTAAAAAACTGCTATATACTGTGTTTCCCTTTATTGAATGACATAGGTAAGCAGTATCACTGCAGTTCATGATTATAGATTATTTAATTATAGTTGTATTCTATAAGAAATTTTTATATAAATGTCAAAATTCAGCGAAAACCTATGTTCATTTTTTCAAAATTAATACTTAAATTGTCAAAGTTTCTACCCTTTTTTTTTTCTTTTGGTGGTACTAGGGATTGAACAAGGGCATCATGCATGTGCTAGCAAGTGCTCCACCACTGAACTGCATCCCCAGCCCTTTTAATATCTTAATTTTGAGACAGAGTCTTCCTGATTTACTTAGGCTGGCCTCAGACTTGCAGTCCTCCCTCCTCAGCCTTCTAAATAACTGGGATTAGAAGCATGCACCATTGAGCAATTTTCTGCTTTTCTTTCCTTTTTTTTCCCTGCTTTTGAAGGTGGTAAAGCACTTGAATAAAGTTGACTGAATCAGTACAAGAAGTCCTTATGCAAACTTTTACCACTCTCACATTAATTTACACTGGTTTTGACTTATTACGCTACCTATATTCTAATTCATAACATTATCCACTAATGGTTGATATGCTATTGTGTCCTATTTTGATACATAAATGGTGGCTTAGCATCAAACAAGCAGATTTCAGATTTGAAGCTGAGTTTTAAGTGTTAAAATGACAGTGTATAATTAATTTTCTATATGATATTGACAGGATGAGTTAACACTTCCCAGTAATCAATAGCCACTTTTTTTTATTCTGTGCAGACTATTGGGAATATTTTGGAAGTGTGCCAGAATTGGTAAGTGTCTATGATTTCTCTTCATTTCTTCAGCTACAAATGTTGATCAGTTTACTTGTGTCATACTCACAAAAGTCAAATGTCAGTTTTAAAAGTGCAGACTTCCCAATTACATGCAGTTTTGCAAAAATTTGTAGAGCTCCAAGTTCTTTTTTTTATGCTATTTAAAACTAGATTCATTAATACTTCATAATATTTCATTAATAGGGAGTTAGAAAATAGAAGAGAGGGGCTGGAGTTATAGCTCAGTGGTGGAGCACTCACCTTGCACATATGAGGCACTGGGTATTCAATCCTCAGCACCACATAAAGTAAAGGTATTGTGTCCATCTACATTTAAAAAAATAGAAGAAAAGTCACTCTAATTCAGATATCAAATATCTTGCATCCCTAATTTTGAGATTTTAAATAAATGTATATATAATTTTATATACACATATTCATAGTATAGAGCATGGTGTTCTATATCTTATGTACCATTTTGATAAGAGGATGGATTTCTCATCTAGTGAAAAGCTTAAGATAATTCAAAACTTGTATGTTTCTATATGTAAATAATATTAAATTCTTATCCCATTCTCACATATATATATAAAATATCACTACACACATCATATAGTATACTCAAAATGATTAGAAAATTCAAAATGGTTGAATAATAAATTATACCATTTTTTTAACATGCCTGATTTCAAAAAAAAAAAAAAAAAATTCCATGGCATTTGAATTTGTACTTAATTAACAACACTTGGATAGAAAATGAATATTACCCTTTTTGGATTATATGCAAACCAAAAAATTTTTATTACTCTTCTTCTAACATTGAATATATGCGTACCTACTTTTTTCTTTCACTAAGCTGTGTACTTTCATAATGCAGAAGAATTTTCTGCATTAGATATTTAATCTAGTTAGCCAGCCTAACAACAGCCTGGATGCCTCAAATATATAACTTTAATAAACAGGCTGGGGAATTTAAAGTTATTTCCTCAGATAAACTGTGTTCCCCTTAGAATATTGTGTTTTACTTTGATTTTCATCTCCATGGAGATGTAGAAATTTTACAAGATTGAAACAAAATTATTAGAGATGGAAACATATAAACTAAGTTCTCATACCACTTACCAAATTTTTCTGAAGATGATCTGGGAATCAATATAATGTATCTGAAGTCTTTAACACTTCTTCCAAATTCATATGTTAACCATTGAACTAATTTCACAACAGTTTTTTCTCTATTGAATGTTTAATGATAGGCAAGACCCCACTAACAACTTCCATAAGTTGTAAGCATACTAAATTATCCAGAATTCCTTTCTAAATCTGTGATGATGAGATTATGATATTCCCTGGCCTCTCAAGTTTGTAGAAAATGATAGTATAAGCATAAAGGCCCTCATATACTATAGTAACTTTTGCAATTGACATTATCTTCCAGGATATTCAATGTGCTTTTAAATGTTAAGTTGCCTTTTCTCTGATCATACTGTATTCTCTCTTAGGAAGTCAGGCATGAGGATCTTTTGTAAGAAATAGCATTGACCTTAAATTAGTAAAAGCACAGATGTAGCCTAGATAAGTGGTTATTAAGAAACATTTGGCATTGTCTAAAGAAAGTTCTAATTGTCAAAAGCAGAATAGGAGACATACAGTGAGTGTAAGTCTAGGATCTTGCTAAACATCCAAGGGTGTGCAGGACAGCCCCTCACAACAGAACTATGCATGCCAAGATTCTGTAATGCTGGAGTTGAGAAGGCCTGGCCTAGATTTACAGAGATCTGTGGTGCATACTTATCTGGCACTCGGTCTTTCACGACAGCTGCAAACCCTTAAATAACAAAAAAAAAAGTCTTAAGCACTTCAAAGAAAACTCAGAAGACAAAGATAGAGAGAAAATATCACCCTTGATAGTTAATGCTAATAGCTAATATCTAATGGTTAATGTAAATATATTAAACCAAACTGCTTGCTGAAGAGGCAATCTTCCTGAAAAAGAAATAAAAACATTGCCAAGGAATGGAGTAATAAGAATACTTCAAGTAAACTGCAAAAAAAGAAAACAATGGAAAAGCGGGTCTGGAATTAGACCAAGTTCCATCTCAATTGTATTGTTTAATTGCTAACTTATAAAGAAAATGTTAAGGCATTTTAAGTCCATTTTATGTAATAAATTAGAAAAATGTGTATAGCTCCATTCAGTAGCCAGCCTGAGTGACACTTCTGTTCACAATTGCCTAAAGAAAGTATAGTTGAAGGTGAAGAAATATAGTTTGTAGCTTTATTAATGATCTCCTATAATCTATTTTTATGTCTAATTATAATTTTATAATTTTAATATGTAATTATAATTTTTGTCTTGGCTTGCTCTTATTATTTCTATTTTCCTCCCTTGGCTATAGGTTAAATGGGTCAATTAAAAGTATTCCTCTTGCCAGTTGTGGAAAACATTAGCTTTTTATTTTAGCAAAGTAGCTTTGAAAATGTTGATGTTATATGCTGCTTTCTCAAGCACATGCTCTTCTTTTTTTGACACACAATATATCCACAAAGAAAGGATGCTGTTTAATGGGAAAAGACCTAGCCAAATCATCTGATCATGTTACACATCACATTATAGCAACTGTTTCACATTCACTTACACAGACCTAAGACCAGACAAGAAGTAACATTCTTATCCAAGTTCAACCAGAGATGTTTAACTCTACCAGATGGCAATCTCTTTTAAGAAAATTAAAAACAGGAAAATGAAACCCATATGTAAATTATAGCATTCTAAGTCAGAGGATTAGGAAGAGAAGAACTTCCTAAAAAAATAATTTTCAGCAGATGGAAAACTTAGATCAGAATTAATTGCTTCCTTTAGGTGTTTAATAAGACTGTCCTAAACAAGGAGAGTGGCCCTAATAAGTGACAGACTTGCATATGAAATCCTCCTGAAATCTCTGGAAGAAGGAGGTGTTTTTGTTTTGTGTAATGACTTGGCTTTTTTACCTTAAAAATGTTAGCATTGTTTAAAATTATGATCCAATATATTTTATAGTTTTAAAAAAAAATTTTCAGTTGAAGTGATGGTACAGTAAAAAACATTTTTCTCACGTTCTGGGTTTTCCTTTAAATGGAAGGCAGTCCATTAAATGTCTGTGAATATAAAACCACTTTCAGAAAAATACCAAATGTTGGCTTTTGTATATATGTGTAATATTTTTATAACTATTGTCATTGAACAGGCCCAAAGATATAAACTTACTGATAGTATGGCAGTGTGAACTTGATGAGGAAACTCTGAAAATGGAAATGGCCTTGAGGATTTTAGTTAGTAAGGGAGATCAAGACTGACATTTTCTAGTGCTAGTTAACTGAACTTCCTAGATTAAGAAAGGAACTTGGTTATTGGGCAAGAGTTGACTGTAAACGTGATAGAAAAATACAAATGAGGGAATTGTAATCCATCTCTACTAAAGGACATTGGGTATAGCTCAGGATTATTTCTAGATGTGATTTCTTCCTCCTTCCTTTGTTTTTATGCCTAGTGTATTATGAACTAGTACAGCCTTGCAGTTACTAAAGAAACAGAAAAAGTCAAAATGAATTTGAATTAACTTACTATCACTGGATCTGTTTGCAAGGTAATTTCCCAAGCCAGCTTCAGGTACACATCATGCAAAGGAAAGTCTTCAAATATAAATACTCCTCAAACAATGTGGAAATTGAAATTAGGTATTTCTGATCCTGAGTAATCAGACTATGATTGAGCATCCCTATCTGAAAATCAAAATGCTCCAAAATCTGAAATTTTTTTGAGCACAGAGGTGATGCTCAAAAAGTTTGGGATTTGGGAGCATTTAAGGATTTTAGACTAGGGATGCTTCAACAGTAAAGTCTATACAAATATTCCAAAATCTGAAATTTGAAATACTTCTTATTTCAAGTATTTCAGACAAGGGATACTCACCTAATAAAAGACTTTATGTGAATATCTATCTCAGAAATATTCTCTCTACGTTTTTTTTATTATACATTTTATATCCTTTTTTTAATACATGAATGCCTCTTCTTCATATTCCTGTACATGTAATGAACTGCTACCAGTGGAAAAAAAATTATGGCTAAATATTGTATGGTGAATTTCTTTTTATTGGTAGAAATTCTTTTTTACAAGAAGAAAATTAACTCTTTGACTTTCGTTGAGTTACTTAAGATCATTTCTCTTGGATCTTTGTCCTACATATCCTGCATTATATTTTTTAATATTTTGTCTTAATGCAGTGACATAGAAATGGCACTTTCAGAGTTTTCTAAATACTTAAAAAGAAGGTAGTCTCAGAAATAAGTCAGTACAGGTTAAAGCATTCCATATTTGACATGTTTTTTATGTTTCTCTCCTTCCTACCCCAGTATGTAGGAGTCAGAGGCAAGAATTTTATCTTGGTTCATGTGTATTTCTCTCCTATAGTAATAGCCTTGTCACTTCCATGTTAGTCATTTTATCAAAATGAATATCTTCTTTTTTTCAACAGGTGAACGAAAGAGTCCTTATGTTGCAGTATGCTGTGTAGTGATGGCCTTCAGCATCCTTTTCATACAGTAGCTTGGAAAAATGCCAGAATTTAATTGCCATCAGACTTCAGTGTGAACAAGGACTTATCTGCAGAAAATAATGGAAAGAATAGTTAACCCTTTTATCTCTGAACATTGAATGAGAGAAATTTCCAGATGGTGTTCTCTATTTTTATGTTATTGGACCAATGTTCTGTATAAATAACTAAGATACAACCATTTGATACACAGAGTTTAATAGTCTGTAACAGTCAACCTCAGTACTGTTGCTACAATATTACATTTTGTGCAAATGTCATTCTGTTGTGTCTGATATCAGTTTTTAGTAGGGTATTTTTAAGGCACATAGTAGAAAACAAAATTGGTGAATTACTCAAGTTCCTTTCACTGTGATTTAGAAATGATAAGTCTTTACAGAATGAGACCTTTTTGGATTAGCTTTTTAATTGAGAAATGGTTCAATTTTGTGTTGGTAAGGATTGCATTCATATTCAATAATGCTTACTTTTCCTCTGGCCATACGAGTTTGACCATTAACCAGAGTGCCTCTACTCTTAACAAATTTTGTAGTTTATTACAGGTGTTTAAAATATTTAAAAACAAGCCCATGCAGTTCTTAAGGAGTCAGATAAATGGGATGTGACTTAAAAGCAGTACTAGGAAAATATTTATATTTAATATAAGAGGATTTAGACTAGGCTGATTGACTATGGATATGTCTTAAGCATGAGTTGGACCAGCTAGCTGTTGTTCTCTGAAAAAGATAACATTCTTAGAATGAAAAGAACAAAACAGAATGATTTGTAGGATGATAATTCAGTGGTTTTTATTCTTTTTAATGTTGACTTTTCAAAATGTTCATTTATTTTAGTTGCCCCCCCAAATGAACTGAATTTTTGTTTAATTATTTTAATACAGCACTTTCAATCTAGTTTATTTTCTGCCAACTTGAACTAGAATCTCTCATAACTTTTTAGATGATAAACAGATCTCATATCTACCATCTACACTAATGGCATAAATATTTTTCTTTGAGCTTTTTTATCGAAGGAAGACTAATTTTTAGTCGATAAAACAAATATTGGGAATATGACTTACAGATCTCACAAGAGGACAGTTATAAATTTATGGTTAACATTTCTTTAGGTCAAGCTAAAATTTACATACTATTTCCAAGCTAAGAGGAGCTTAAATCTTACCAAAAATTTCCCCATTGTAGGTAGTGTTTATTAATTAGATGTTATTTTTAATCTATTAGTATCTGCTTCTATAGAAACAGTATAGAATTTGAAACTATCAGTTTTTAAAGGCCACTTTAAACTACTTGGAATGAATCCTAGGAAACATCTAGTACAGCTAATGTATTGCCCTGTCTATGGTTGGTTAAAAGTGGCATTTTATTTTGGACAAGCAATCTGGTTATAATAATTGTTTCTACTCTGAACTACATCTTGGGCTTTGTATTAGGTCAAGGATCTTTAGGCTATCCCCAAAATAGGACACTTGTCAGCATACCCATGCAGAGAAGTCACCTTTCTAGGTCTAATTTCTGGGTGGCCATGTGTTGTCCAACTCTGCTGCCAACTGGACTTTCCACAAAAGCTCTGTCAGCTTTTTTTTTTTTTAATGATAACACAAATCTAGTATGAAAAAGGAAAGAGGATTCTAGAAATCAGTTCTAAGATATTTTAATTTGGCATTTTCAAGAAGGAGGTGGAAAGAAAAGGAAAAAATTATTTTCTTGGGAAAATTTATGGTACCCAGAGCGGTAGTGCATGCCTGTAATCCCAGCAGCTTGGGAGGCTGAGGCAGTAGGATCGCAAGTTCAAAGCCAGCCTCAACTACAGTGAGATGCTATACAACTCAGTGAGACACTGTCTCTAAATAAAATACAAAACAGGATTGGAGATGTGGCTCAGTAAATTGGAAAAAAAAAAAAAAAATTTTGTGGTAACATATAAAATTGTACTATGTATAGGTGTTGAACAGAGTGGGAGGCAGCTTATTCCTAACCCAAAACATTCTGACCTTTTGAAACACAAGCTCTTTGGGAGGTGGAGAAAAGACACAAGATCTATGAAGAAAAGCAATTAGCATTTTCTTTAATGTATGTTTTTCAAGGAGTTACCATTGAATCTTGTTTTCTAACCCAAGGGCAGTGTAGATGGTTTTAAGCCCACAGAATATTCAGATATTTGCCTACTAATAGGTGGAAGGTGGTGGGATGTAAAAGAAGATTAAAGATTGGCCTAAGCATCAAATGCTCTCCCCTACATCTGTCACATAGACTTGCCACAGAACTTGAAGTTAGGATGCATGCAGAAGTTCATACCATGCTAGGTTCAGATGCTCTTCCTAGCTTCATTTCATGCTTTTGCTTCTTTTAAAAATCTCTCTGAGATTTTGTTTTGTGCTTACACTTAGTTCCTGGTTAGCTTCAGCTGTGCTAGCAACAGGGGTAGGTCTCCTTTACTGGGCAGTCTTAAAAGAGGGTCAATCAAAAAGCCAGAGTCTGTAGAATTCCCCCATAAGCTTAAAAGTTGAGATTCAAGTCCAAAAGTGTCTTGTTAAAGTTTGTTCTACTGTTCCAGGCACTCACCTGAATGTTCTTACATGTTCACATTCAAAATAGTTTTCCATGCTGGGAAAAATAGCTATATGTAATTTGTAATAGACTTCTTCATCTTAGTAATAAGATGATTAGTCTAGTTTTACCTTAGGACAAAACAGGTTTGAATGAAATAGGTTTTCCAAGTTTACAAAGTAAAAAACAAACAGATCTCTGCCTCCTTTTATGAAAAAGATTTAACACTTGTAAATAAAATATTCATGTGTCAAAAAGCATTTATAGAATGCATATGTTAGATTATTGAAAATAGAAGTGATAAGTACTCAGTTTCTTCTCTGTAGTCATAATGTAGTAAGAAATGAAGTTATGTATATAATGGATAACAGTTACTGAGATAGTCCCAGGATCTATTTATAAGACACTAAAGAGGGTGACAGTTTTGTCAGAATGTGAATTTCTTTTCAGAAGAGCAGTAGAAAAGCTGAACTTGAAAGTGTGGTGCAAGAGCACAGTGGTGTTATGAAGATATAAATAAATACCTAGTTTTTTGTGCCCACTGCAGAGTATTAAGACAGAAACCAAAAAGCTGGACAGACGTTAAATCCTAAAGGATCTTTTATTTTTCTCATTCCTATCCATCACCTACCTCAAAATTGAAGTTGAATATGTTTTCCCTCCTGCCTAATACAAAACTCCTTCAAGAAGAAGGTAGCTAGAGACAATAACCTGTTAGGTTAGTATTTTCAGAAGTTTGTACTCCATGCCAAAAGCATCCCTGATGTTAAAGCACACATCTCCCCAAGAAATTAGGGTGACTACACTGTCTTGATGCCCAGAAAATATTTCCAGTAAGCAGGGACTTGCGCTTTTATCAAGCTTTTGAGAAATCACTAAATCTTAAGCTCAAACAAGACTGGAAGACTCTTAGGGACCACTCTTCACTTCCTTGGTATCCATCCACTAACAATAAATGTTCAAAATATGTAGCTAATATTAGCATTGTGAGTACTACTCAACCTTGATAATCTGCAAATCACTAATAGCTTCTGAAAAGTACCTCCAACATCATATACTGCCTTCCCATGATTTCTTTTACTTTGCCCAGACTAATCCCAAAATAATCTGAAATGCTACTTCAATATTAGGAAAAGGAAGAGATATATGTCCTGTGATTTTTAAGAGTATAGAGATACTCATCCTAATCTCTGGTTAGTTCATATGTCTGGTGTGTAATAAAAATTAAAGTGAACTTTCAAGAGCCTCTTAGTGTTGTCTTTTTGCCAGAATGATGAAAACAGTTTTTAGAAGTTAAAAAATTGATGTTGTCACAGGGATGAAGAAATTTTCTATTTTAATTTATATTTTAATTCATGGCTGGCCAAGTGGTTTGGGGAACTAGTGTTTCTATTGGTTTTTATCTGAAAACTGTACAATCTCTCATTGCTTTTTCTTCTAGCAGCCTAAGTGAATTGGGTGGTTTGCTTTGGATATGAAATCTTTAATTCTACCAGAGACAGTTGAAATCTGGTTTTTAGTAAAAGTGACAGTTACTAATTACTGACAAGTTAATTTTGACCTCAAATAAGAGCCTTCAGATACCCAAACATTCTGGCAAGGAGCTGTCATTCTATGTCCAAAATTTGCTTGTGAGGAGTATCCATCAGAGATTATTTAGCCAGTATATACTACTTATTGAAAAAGATTTGTCCATTGCATCAGGGTTTCTAAGTACTACTTTTTCCCCAGAATTGAATCAACACAAATTTTATTAAACAAATTACTAGAAAAATTTTACCTTATCAAATGAATCTCTACAACTTTGTTTTTAGGTAGGTTTAGAACTCAAAAAAATAATTCAGATATGAATAGGAAGATAAGTTGTTTCCTCAGTGTATATTTGTAAACTTTCATGTTCCATTATAACTGTCAATTGATACAAAACCTTACAGGGAAAATTACTCTTTTTTTTTTCTAAGTCAAAAAAACTTTGCTTTAAACCATTGAACTTAACACCCAGGAAAACAAAATTTGTCTTCATTTCAGTGGTTTTACATCAGTATCCACCACTACAGAATCATCTGGGTGTGCAGGGAGTCAAAAGCATAAATACTGAAAATAAAAGTAAGTTACTTCACACGTTTGTAGAGGATGAGAACATTAAAGAACTGTGTAATATCTGGAAACTACTATTTGAGCTTTATTTCACAAAGAGAATGGTCTAGGAGCAAATAGTATCTAGGGCAGGTTCCCCAAAGTGTGAAAACCTGTAATTTATCTGCCATTTTAACATACTTGGGCAACTATTCATTTTAGGTTATATACTGAAAAAGTAATGTACGAAGGCATTAAAATGTTTAAACATTTTAAGACAGGATTTCAAGAAGGCCAGTATCAAAGAATCTTTGTAGTATCCACATTTAAGGCTACTGCAAGAGGGAACAAAGCATAGAGAGTGCACTGAGAAGTAATTCAGTGTGTCACGTATCTTGATGAAATGAGAAGATTGAGCCTTGGAAATTATAAAGTTAGGAAAATACTGATTTTCAAAATGGTGTTTTTCTTTTGATTTTATTTGATAGGAATACTATCAAATTTCACCTAAAACTCTTCTAGTCCACACTAAGCAGAATCTTAGAGACAATTCTAGGAAATGTGGTACTGGCTAACCATGTTTAACCTGACGGTCATCACACCCTCTAAGACCCTTCAGCCTCATTTCCTCCCAGCAACTCAGACTCATGCCAAAGAGAAAACTTCTAAGTCTATTTTTCCTTCTGCACTTCCTTATTTTTATAAACACTAACAGTTTTCAATCGTATAAATTCTTGTATCCCTTTTGGAACCACCAACCAGCTTGCTGATTTACTAATATTAGACACAAAGAGGACTTCGAGTAAATCCTG